ATCTCAATGCGTGCTATTGGTAAAATGATATGTTATAGCTTATTGACTCCACAACATAATACAAATGCGATAAAAAGAATGACTCACAATTTTCTGCAAGGTTCAGCTTCCTGCGGGTGGACTCTACATTTTTCAAAAGCACATAGTCACAACTGTCTGTAACTTCAGTTCCAGCGGAATCCAGAAGTCCTCTTCTTCCCTTTGCAGACACCAGGCATGCAGGCAGTACACAGACATACATGCAGGATATACATAAAATAACAATTAAAAAATATTAGACAGCAGGAGGCATGAGTAGAAGGGTCAGGGTTTTCTGGCTAGCCTAGGGAAACAAGAGACCTTGGTTCAAAAACAAAACAAAAAAGCCCATGAAGTTGAGAGGGAAAAATGATGGTGGGGATGAGGAGGAACTGGAAAGGAGGGGTGACAGATTTGATCAGAACATAGTGTATGCAAGTATGAAAAGTCTTGAATAAAAAAATGAAATTAAGTAAATTCCCCATAAAGTTGAGAAAATAGCTCACAGTACAAAAGGCAGGCAGGCATGGGGAGAGAGACAGAGACACAGAGAGAGAGAGAGGAAGGGTAACTCCATCATTCATGGGCAGATAGCAAGACACAGGCACACAAATAAATGTTGCAGCACTAAGCGATGTTTGGATGAAAACAGCGAACTAGTAACACTCACTTTGTCTAAACTCATTATGTTGCAAAGAGCGTTGTTTTGGGCTCATGGATCTACAGGATGAACCCATGACAGTAGATGGCCAGCAATCAGCAGGCCTGATTGCAGGAACAGGAAGCTGAGAGCTCCCATCTTGAACTTCGGGCATGAAGCAGAGAGAGCAAACTGGAAATAGACAGGGCTTTTTTAACTTCAAAGTCTGCCCTCAGTATGAACTTCCTCAGGAAGGCTAAACCTCCCTAAACAATGCCACCCACTCCGATTCCTGAGACCACGAGAGACATTTCACATCCAAACCACTACATCCCACGTCCTGGCAGCAGACTCCTGGTAATACCATAATGCAAATGCATGTAGTTCAACTTCAGAAGTCCCCAGAGATTAACACTCTCTAAAAGTCCAAGGTCTTTTCTGAGACTCAAGGCAATCTCTTAATTGGTAACCCCTTACAAAAAAAGACGATTACATGCTCGCAGGACACAGTGGCATGGATGACCCGTTACCATTCCAAAGGGCACAGTGGGGAAGTACAGTGAGCAAGACCAGAACCCAGCCGTTCTAACAGATCCTGCTGCTCAAGTCCTGTTAAAGGGCCTGCACAGCTCCACCCTTCCAGCTTTGTTGCCTGGCACACACTTTTCTCTTGGGCTGATTTCATTCCATGTATGCAGATACCCCACGGCTTGGGCATTTCCAAAATCTTGGGGTGTCTACTGTAACAGAGGCTTCACTTCCAACACCTTTATGTAATGGCCTCTCAGTCTCCAGCCTTCCAAAGACCTTCATGTTGAGACCACCCTGCCATATGCTGCCTGGCCTCAGTGGCTCTCTTAAGTCATGGAGAAAAATCCACGAACACTCCACGCCTGCATGTTTCATGCCTGTAAGGGTGGCAACATGTGAACCCCACTGCCAAGTTCCACCGCCAGCTTGTGATGGACCTCCCTCCCCCGTGAGTCACGTTAGTGCAGGGCTGTCATTCAGGTGTCCTTTGGGATCAGAGCATGTCTAATGTCCTTCCCACATGAAGTGAGGGAGTCAACACAGGATATGAGAGAAAACTTCAATAAAGTAAAACACTGAGAAAAACCCTGAAATACTGGAAATGAAGATTTCAATAAGTCAAATAAGATCCATGGGAACTCTTACCAACAGGCTGGATTAAGATGGGGACAGAATATTAGAACTTGAAGTCAAGCAGAGAAATCGCACCAACTGTGGTCAGGATACTTTATCAAGGTAAAACATTTGGGACATCAAGAAAAGAACACATAAATTGTGGGATTAGAAAGAGGAGGATTTTATCTTTCTAAAAAGATCTTTACCTTTTGTCTTTCTAAAAAGATTGAATTTCATTATTTTAAATTATGAATACGTCTCTGTCTTATGTGGGCATGTGCACGTGCAGCAGGTGTGCTCGGAGGCCAGAGATTTGGGATTGCTCTGGAACTGACGTTATAGGTGGTTGTGAGTCACCTGAAATGGGTGCCGAGGATCCAACTAGGACCCTCTTGAAGAGATCTTAATCACTGACCCATCTCTCCAGCCCATGAGAGAAAACCTGTTCAATAACAAAATCTAGGGCAAAAGAGATCTATCAAGGTACAGAGGGATAGGCAGCTAACAGGCAAGACCAGGAAATAATCCACACTGCATTATAGTCAAAGCAATAAGTATTCAGGACAAAGGAAAGACATGGGAAGCTGCAAGAGAGAAGCAGCGCATCACACAGACAGGCAGAGCACCATGTCACCCAGACAGGCAGAGCACCATGTCACCCAGACAGGCAGAGCACCATGTCACCCAGACAGGCAGAGCACCATGTCACCCAGACAGGCAGGCCCATCTGAATCTCAGCTGACTTCTCAAGAGAGAAGCCCGTGTCACACAGACAGGCAGGCCTATCTGACTCTCAGCTGACTCCTCAACAGAAATTGTAAAATCCAGAAGGGCTTGGAAATGACTTAAACTCTGAATGACCACAACCACCAGACAAGGCCACTATACCAAGCAGAATTAACTGTCATAGAAGAGAAACTTTCTACAATAAAAACAGGCCAAAAGAATTCATGACTATTAAGGCAGTTCAAGCAAGTTAAGCGAACTAATCCTTCGGACATAAGGACAACAAAACAGTTACAACTAATTTCATAAAACAAATATAACAAGATGCAAAGATGCAGAGCAACCCTAACACAGTAACGGTGGGTGACTCCAGCACATTACTCTTACCAATCGACACATCAGCTGACAAAAACAGATATCTGAGTTCAATGACATTCTATGTCACAAGGACCTAATAGATATACAGAACACGCTTACCAAACACTGGAGGAAGCACATTCTTCTCAGCAGCTATAAAATGATAATGTATTAATGATATAGGCCAAGCCTTTTTTTTTTTTTTAAAGATTTATTTATTACATGCAGTGTTCTGCCTGCATGTGTGTCTGCATGACAGAAGAGGGCACCAGATCTCATTACGGATGGTTGTGAGCCACCATGTGCTTGCTGAGATTGAACTCAGGACCTCTGGAAGAGCAGCCTGTGCTCTTAACCACTGAGCCATCTCCCCAGCCCAACCAAGTCTTAGTATAAGAAGATCAATGAAGGTGGAAAACCTATACATTGGAGAAACAAACAAACAAAAAACCAGCCTCTTCAACAAATGGTGCTGGAAAATTGGATGTCTACATGCAGAAGAATGAAATTAAACCCCATATTCTCATCCTGTATTAAAAGTCATTTCTTGGGGTTGGAGAGATGGTTCAGTCATTAAGAGCACTTCAGTTTCTTGCAGAGGACACAGGATCAGTTCCCAGTACCTACATGGTGCCTCTCAACTATCCATAGGCATGCAGATACACACACAGGCAAAACACTCATACACATAGAATAAATAAATGGGAAAAGGTGGCAATTTAAAATCAAAGACCTTAATGTAAGATCTGAAACTCTGATATTGTTAAAGGAAAAAGAGGAAATATTTCAAGCTCTAGGTGCAGGCAAGGATTTTATGAAGAGGAGTCTAGTCACTGTCTACACACAACAAGGAGGACAGCACAGGATACAAAAGCTTCTCCACAGCGATGCACACAGTTAGCAAAGACATAGATCACAGACTGGGAGAAAATCTTTCCCAGTTAGGCACATTGTCTTAGTCACTATTCCATTGCTGTGCAAAGACACCACGACCAAGGCAAAAGCATTTAATTGGGGCCTTGCTCACAGTTTCAAAGGTTTAGCCCACTGTCATTGTGGATGGGAGCAGGGTGCCACACATGTACGGCTCTAGAGTAGTAGCTGAGACTCTAGGGGAAATTTGCATTCAAACCACCACAGCACGCACTGTTGACTGTCTGGTGAACAAACATCGATTTACCCCAGATAGGGCACTGGTGGCAAAGAGGAATGGCTGTGCCCAAGTCCAGCTTACTGATCAGTAGGGGGTCACTTACAGCAGCTTGAATGACTCAGAGGCAGTCGCATCGTGGAAAGTCCAGGACAGTGACCACAGAAGCCCAAACCCTGGAGTACCCTGAACAACTTGCAGGTGGCTCAACCGGTTCACACACCTTCTCCTTAGCAACTGTTCCAGCTTTTCAACCCTTGGCCTCCGGGAGGAGTCTCACAGCTTTCAGGAGCTTCCTGAGGCTGGGAAATTCTATTCACTCCCTTCTGCCCTCGTCTGGGAGGGGTGGCTTCAATTCAGAGAAATAGCACCCAGCATCGCCTACAGAGGGCTGATATCTGGAAAAGTGAAAGAACCCCAATAGAGAAGCTAGAAACCAATCCACTCTACCAATAAAGGTGCCAACCGAATGACCAGGAAGTTCCCCCAAAGATTCCATTCAAATAGCAACAATCATATGAAAGTGTTCAGCCCCACTAGAATGGCAGTTTAGGACAAACTAAAACTCCATCTCCTCCTAGTCAGAACTGCAGCCATTAAGATAATAGTAGCTTGGTGGTGGCTTCACTCCTAGCAACAGAGGCAGAAACACCGTGAAAATGAAAAAAAAAAATTAAATTATTTCAAGTGACCGGATTCCCAAACAACTCCCAAGGTCCTGTCTTTCAGCCATAAACAGGAATCCATTTGCTCTGAAATACACAAGATAATACTACTGAATTGCAAATAATACAACAAAATTGAAAATATTTTTATTTCTATAATTTTATTTTGAAATAAGCTTCAAATCTAAATAAAAGTTTCAAGAATTGTACAAAGAATTGTAGTCAAGTGGGAAAACCACACTCGAATTTTGATAATTGCTCCATTTATGTCATGACATTTAGGGTAAGATGTCTCAGATCATGGATTGCATGCAGTGGTCGTGGCTTCTGACCTCCTAGATCTGAAACATTCGTCTTTTCTTGTCTTTCATCACATCGGATTGTTCTTATGGGGCAACCGTTTCTAGACCGTCACTTCTGTCTGATGCTTCCACAGGGCTAGCCCCGGTGTCTGTGTTCTGGCAGGGCTGCCGTGATCTTCTCAGTACATGGCAAGAGTTTGTCCCATTACTGGTAGGAGGACTCTGATCCCTCCATAACAAATATGGTATCTGCCATGTTTTTGAATGTAAGTTTTTAAACATTAGACAATTTTCTGAAGACACTGGGAGACCATGTAAATCATCCTATATGGACATCCTCCTTGGCCCCATTAGTTTGAGCACTGACTGATATTTCCCAACATATTAGAATAATAATTATCTAACAGCAATTTTCAAACTCCATTTACATTTAATGGCCGGCATGATATTGTAGGGAATAACTTTCTCTCCTTCATATTCATTTATCTCAGTATGAATCCATGGGTTCCTGTTGTATTCAATTATTGTTTGTTTCATGGTTAAAGTATCCCTCACTTGGCCTGTGCACACTCATTCAAGCTGTCTCTTACGCTTTCTGACTTGTAGCCATCTTTCTTTGAATACTTTATTTTCTGATACAGAGTATATACCAGACTTGAAATCCAGATCCTCCAGCTCATTCAGAGGGGAAGAAAATTTGGAAATCAAAATCCAGCACTACTTGTGCATCTTTCTAGTCTTTTCAGTGTCCGGAATTAGGAACTAGTATGTACAGCATGCACACACCTCAGTATCTATGCACACTTGTGTGTGTCTATGTATATAACTATTTCTATAGATACAATTATATAGAGATGCACAAACGTGAAGTGCACGCTGGTAACTCCAATTCCAATTGACATGGCCAGCTTCGTCCTACATTTAAGAAGTTTTATTATTTTTAATTGAGAAATAGTAATTACATGTTGATAGGGAATACTTTGACAGTTTTGTGCCTTTATGCTTTATGGGATGACGAGACCAGGCTGTTTGTGCTGATCATCCCTCGGCTACCATTCTTGGTGGTAAAAATGCTCTCCTTTACCCATTCTGAAATATGGAAATTATGAACTTCAGTTACCTATACAAGCCAAACTTTATAACTTTTCTGGTTTTCTCTTTTAATTGGATACCCTTCCTCAGTTTCCGTAAGTGAGAAGCTTGGCTCCTATATCCTCAGTGAATTTATTGAAATGCTCAGTCCCTTGATTGAGCCACGCTGCTGAGCCAAAGGGGTTGTCTTCTGCCCGCTCCAAAGACCACCTCAAACCCCAGGGTCACTGTCCACCGAAGTCTCCCCTGCCACCTCCTCACCCCAGCTCTGATTTTCTGTGATGTGACTGCTCCTCTCACCCCGTGTGTGAGGCCCCTCTGCTGCTCACCTGCTCCGTCTGTGGTCGCCCTTCCACTAGAGCGAAAGGCAGGAAAGGAAGGGATTGCAGGGAGGAGGGGTGACTGAAGGAAGGAGAGATGAAGGAGGGGGGAAGGAAGCAAAAGAGAGTGTTGAATGCAGGGCTGTGGGCTTGAGTCGCTGTATTAGAGGTGAGATGAACTGGTCCTCCTGGGGAAAATCTGAAATTGAGATTAGATATTTGTCCTTTTACTCAAAATTACTTTGTAGCCTAGGGCTATAGCTGTGATTTTTTTCAATGTTATACAGATCCAACTGTAGGAGAAAGCTTGTGGTGAAGGATGGCTTTCCCTAGGCTAATCAGAAGGAGGAAGGATAAGGTTGGCTGGCTTAGGCCTCCGGAAGAATCTAAAGAAAGCACCAGAGGGGGATTAACTAAACTGGCAAAAGCCAAATGGCTCAGACACTTGTATCTGAGAATGCCGACCATGACCACTAGATGGTAGTATAAACTCACAACAAATTTGTTTTTCTGCTTGAGCTGAAAAAGAAGGAAGTCAAGGCCTAATGAGCCTCTAAGCCCTGGGCCACAGCATTGTCTTACGGGTACTATAAGTAAATTTCCTTCAACTTTCATTCCATCACAAGTACAATTCAGGCAATAGCCTTGCAAGTTATCTTTAAATTTTCACTAAAATTTTTAACATGTCCCCAATTTGATAGAAATTTTGAATGGATGTTTCTAACCCTTTCAATCAATTAACTGTAATAGAATTTATACATTTCGGGAACTTGGATTTTGTTTCCTCTTTTGCTCAAATAAATCTGTTCTCCCATCCCCTCTGTGTCTTTTAAAAACATTCATTCTTGGTAAAACCATAGTTCACAGTTTGCAAATGAGGGCTTTACCTCTATACATTTAATCTTGGCAAAAATTAACAGTTATGACATCATGACATAAGAGAGCATCTATGTACAAACATATACAATTTTATTGATCTCTCTACAGACTACAAGAATTTTAGGTATAGTCACAATTGCTGAATGCAACAGAAAAATAGTAATTTGTCATTTTTTTGAAAAGATGCAAAAATTCTGAAGATGAAAGAAAGATACATCAATGGTGTTGTCTGTCTCTTATTTCCTAGAATAAAACATCACATAATTAAGTACTAAAAGTTATAGGTTATTAGAGATTTTGAACCTGTGTACAACTATCCAAAACCACCACCTAGTGTGTCTTCTGGCTTTGCAGTTGAGAAGGGTGGGCCAAGACAGGAGGGGGGTGGCACAAGGGGAGAGCAGTCAGAATAGTTTCTGTGTGTCCTTGCCTTCCATTGGCTGCCTTCCCCTGGCTGGACCAGTCCTCTCTGGGGTGTGAACACTTTTTCAGGGCCCTGGTGTTCAGAAGGTGTTTCCCGTCACTCACATTCCCAATAAACCAAGCGGCCCTGGCTGTTGAGACAACAACAATCAATCCTCCCTGTTTGCTGAGATCAGGTCCAGAAAGATACCCACAGCCCAGCAGGGACCCTTCACCATGTCTGCTCCAGAAGAAGGGTGCGTAATAAACTTGGAGCTGATGGACTTTGTGATTATTTTGAGAATTTTCATTGTCCAGATATTGAGAATTTTACCACTTAGCTTTTTGTACTGCTGAACTTATGGTGATATTTCTTGTATCTTATGTAAAAGACAGTCAAAACTTACAATGTTGACTTAAAATAACTAAAGATCAAGTCACAGAGAATAATATACTAGAGATACAGAGAATTAGTGGCGCTGCCTTTTGTTTGCACTCACTTTTGTTCTGTGAGAGGCACAGAATAAATGCCAATCAAGACAAGGCTGTGTCTCTTACATTCTGCCTTTCCCGAACCCTTAGAAGGGGCTAAAATATCAGCCCAGGAAGGCAAGAATCTTTCTTAGTTGGTCATAGAGCAGCGCTTAGCAACTTTGGCTGGACATAGACCCACTTTTAGGGCTCTCAAAAATACTGATGTTCTGTTCCAAGTCTAAGACATTTTTAAATCATTGGGAATTAAAAAATCTCAAGAGATTGTTATGTACAGCCAAAGCTATACTTAAAAAAAAATACAAACCAAAGATACAAACATAGGCCTTTGCCTGTGCTGTGGTCGAATCAAAACCTCACTTCCCTCAGACTCTCATGGCCTTCCCGACACCACCCCCTCACACTGCACCTTCTCAGTGTCTACATGAGACCTTATTTAGTTCTTACATCCAGGGCTACGTGGTCTGTAGACAGGAACACTAAACGATTTATCAGCCATGCTTCCTAGAATCTCTCATATGAGAGACAATGCTCAACCTACGTTGGTGACAGTTATCTCAGGCACTCTGGTTAGTGTGCATACACAATGCTACCACCTAAGATGAGGCTGAGTGACAGGAGGTGAAGAAGCTGTGAAGCTGGTATTTTTCCTAACACACAGAGAGCAAGACTGTATCTGACATGCTGGCTTTCTTTGTCACTGCCCTCTGTGAACCAGTGTGGTCAGGGATGCTTGTAGCACAAATATCCTAGTTGTTCTCCTGTGCAGCTAGCTTCATCATATTACTCTACCCAAATGCCCGCGAGCCAAGTATTTCAAAGAACCCACCTCAGTCTTCAACCAATCTTGGGCCTAATCTTACTTTTTTTTTTTTTCAAACTGGCACAAATAATGGGTAAATGATACCTTTAAAATGGTATTGGTGGGTCATATAAAAGGGAACCTCATTTTTTAAGGTCTCTTTAAACTTTTTAAGGTTAGAGACCTAGATTTTATAGAGAATCAATTCCAAAAGACTTGAGAAATGTTTCTAGGATGGAGTAGCTGGACATCGTCTCAGTTTGTCACTGAAGCTTCGCTTACACGACATACAATGGCCCCCATGGTGACTGAGTGCTAAGTTGGGGACTCAGGGAAGTATAGAAGCAAAGTCAGACACACAACTTTTTCAGGGGATTGAAATAAGTGAGATCACCCTCCACCCAAACTCCGGGACAAGTGGATGGCTTCATAACAGGATCATTGCTTACGTTACTGTGAGAACCAGGGAAACATGTACGTCTTCTATTACATCATTGGTGATGAGAATGAAAGGTCCATTTTCTGCTGGAACACTAAGGGCTTTTCTGTTGAGGCAAGATTGGAAGTCAAGTCACCTTGTGCAGATGGTGCTCTGCAAGCCTTGTCTTCGGATGCTGCTTTGTAGACACAATGTAATGAGATGGTAACCAAGACTCAGGGCCACCTTCTGCAGCACTATTAAAGTTTCTGGGGGTAGTTTTCCATACGATCCAAGACAGAAGAGAGATGAGAAAATGCAGAAGATTAAATGTATAACACTACTCATTTCCCTAGGATAGCCATGATGGCAAAATGGTGGTGGTGGTGGTGGTGGTGGTGTGTGCGTGCATGAAGGTTAATGCAACAGAACAGAAAAGTTGAAAGAGAAAAATCACATCCATGGTTAAATTATTGTTATTGCTATCTCTTTGAATTATAAAAATAATTTTGATACAGTAAAACCTCATTAATTTAGATTCTGCTAATCATTGATCTGAGGAATAAATTACTCTTATATGAAGAAAGGGTTTGGCAAACAATTTTGTGAGCACATCTAAGCTTTAAACATTTATGAGAATGTGTTCTTTTTAAGCATGGCAGAAGCACCTACTCCAAATGATCTCTATTTATAAACTTTTTGATTTATTTGTTGAAGTCAGAATTTTAAGCATGTCTATCAAACACTGTGGATGTCCCTTTTTGATATATTCCCTGTGTGCTTTGAAGTAGTCTGTAATTGTTAGTTCACTGATTCTTCAAAATTGAGCTCTATTGTATGAATCACACATATAATTTTGGGTGGGAATTCTCTTGCTAAGAGAATGTGCTCTTGTTGCATGCTATTTTCTGTAAAAAAATACATTATGTATTTCACAGTCTTTCTCTTTAAATGATGTAAAATAGTAGCTCTCAACTGGAAGCAATTTTGTCTATTTTTTTTCTTTTTACTGTTATTACTAGCAGGTTTCTAATGGCATCTACAGGGCAGAAGTCAAGGGCACTGTTAACATCCCATAATATGCTAGACAAAAACTTGCACTAATGATGCTGCTATCGAGAACTCTTGCTATAGAACAAGTGAATTTGTGTGTGTGTTGATGAGGATTGAACCCAGAGTTTGAACATGGCGGGCAAGCACTCTACCCTTAGCTGTATCGCTAGAGCAAGTTAAATGTTCCTGGGAGTTTCAGAGATAGTCATTGAATTCAATGCTACATTGGGTTGAATTTCACTATTTCAAAACAAAAGAAATATTTTATTCTTTTAGATCATTGTAGAAATGTTAAAGTATCCAGAAAAATCAGAAACTTGGGTTCTTAAAATAGATAGTATAAATTGTGTGTTGCATTTTGGTTGCCAATGTTTTCTAGGTCCTGGCCTTAAATTCCATTAATATTTTTACTGCATAAATGTGTGTATTGTCTGTATTTCCAAGACAAGTTCTCTTATGCTAATACTATAGCAGAAGGTAGACTTATGGAGAGATGTGTTTTAAGAAAAGAATTCAAGGATTCTAAGAAATGCTACTCTAGTGTGTATTTTCTAGCTCTTTTGACCACCTCTGCTCTCTTCAAGATTGCAAAGAAAAATTTAAAGAAAGCACCACTTCAAAACAAAAAATATAAAACCAATAAAAATGGCAATTTTGTCTATGAAGTTGGAAGAAATGGTTATGTTTTAAACACAATGTAACCCAGCAAGGCCTCAAACCACCAAGAGCCAGTAAACAAATCAACCACATAATTTAAGGTTCTAAAAAGGAGAAACACATTGTCAGGTGAGTCCTATGTTCTGACTTCCAAGCACGTTCAATAGAGCGAGTAGGAGTTGCCAGTATTTTCTGTGTAGTGCTCCTTTGCTGGGTTGGAACAGATTATTTTATCATGCTAGAGCTGACCTTTACCTTTGAGAGATTTTAAGAAGGTGTTTGGGATTTACTAAGATATTCCTGTGACAATTTGTCCATCTAATTAGTTAAATTATCTATGGGTTTGTGTTATTCATAATGACGACTATGGCCAACATAGCTAAAATACCAGTAGGTTTTATAAAGGTTCCTTTAATAAGCATAGAACCCCAAAGAATTTTCTAATAAAAGCCCTTATCAATCAGAAATGTAATAACTCAGAATCTCTTTCCTAAAACATTAACTGAGGTTTTACTGAATCACATCGACGAGAAGGACCAGTTTGGTCTGTGAATGTCAGGCTGCATAAGCACCTTGGGATTGTAGACCCTATTGGGTTTGAACAGTAATATACTGTGTAACTGGCAGATAAGGATACAAATGGTGCTTTAAAAATATATCGCTTTGGAAACTGAAATTGGGGTATGTGAAATTCCACTCTTTGTGAAATCAGTTCTCAGAACTAACTGCCTTATTACTATAGTCTAGTTTCTGCAAACTTATCGCCAACTCCTCTGGAGACTATACACCAGGCTGAAAAAATGCTCTGAGGTCAATCAACCCTGCTCGGTTGATGACTAAAAGCAGGAACTCATCCTGAAGGTGACAGACACAGGAGTAAGAGTGCTGGGAGTCCTTCGCTATCCTGGCCAGCCTTGGGTAAGGAGAACTGTGGATGATGCGCGATGCTGTGGAGGGAGGAAAGTCGTAGTCAGATTCTTGCTTAGGAGAACTCAGTAGTGTCCTAATATACTAAGGAAGGTTTCAGATGAGAAAAAACTCTGGGTTTGTTTGGATTCCTTTTTGGATGGGTATGGCAGGTCCACTTGAAATGCAGGGTTATCTTCTAATGCAGATTTTTAAATTGTCGGGTGTGGCCCAATTCAGAAGAGTAGTTCACCATAAATCCTTTTTCTTCTGATATGACATGCTTTGGTTTCTTTTCCTCTTAAGATGTTAATTTATCATGCAAAGATTTTTTTCATTAAGTGCATTAATGCTTTTTTTTTGTACAGGAAATTTCAAATCAAAAGGACTCCCCAATAGTTTCCAAACACAAACTCTTAGCAAATTACATGCCAAGATGATAGCATCCATTCCACATGGGGAAAAGACAAATTCAGCCATTATCTTGGGATTTTAACCGGGGTTCCAGCTTTCAAGGTGCACAGCGGCTTTGCCTTTGCTACGCCTCCGTGTGATAACTTCAGATGGACTATAATGGAACATTTTGTAGAAGAAACTGGTTTCTAGCAGTTGAATAGTGATGCTGGGAATAAATTTGGTTTCCCTGAATAATGGATTCTCAAAGCAGTCACAACTTCTTTTGACGGTTAGAACTGGTACCATTTCTTATCCTTGTATTTCAGCATTAACTGGAAAGAGAAAAACAGCAATGTAAAGATGTCATCGTTAAAACGCGAGTCAGCAAATCAACACTGAGTTAATCATGGAAATTTAGTTAAGTCTCAGAATGTAATAGAACTGCGTAACCTCTTACTTTGTAGACAAAGTCCATGCGAGACAGGCTCAAAATCAAATACTTGAGCTTCGCACATTTGGTGGATAGGAAACGATGTTTAATGACAGCCGAGATGAAAGATATGAATTCTAGCCTCTGCTGACCCTCACCCATTTTGGGGAACTCATAAAATCTCCCTGTGCACCTGGCCAAGCAGGTGATACAAAATACAGACCTAATGTATCAGAATGGATCAATATGCTATGCCCCAAATGAAAAGAGTCTCAACTTAATGTAGGGGGCTATAGTACTTCGAGGATTCACGTAGTGCCTCTGCCTAGGCTTCCTTCTTCAGGACTCGGATGTTTCTAGTGGCCGCATTGTGAAGACGCCTGCATTTACGTGGGCAGTTTACCTCGTGTGCATGCTTGGAGAACGCTTCTGCACTGGTCATCATGCCTGCGGTCTTCTCTTCCAGCTCCCCCAGCCTCTGTCCTCTCTCATCGAGTGCAATTCGGGCTCGGGTCAGCTCTCCCATCACCCCTCCGGCCGCGCCTTTCATCCCTTCTATACAACCTGGTCCGGGGATGTGCTGTGCAAGGCTGCGGGATGCTTTCCCCGCTGTAGCTTCCCCAACTGAGAATTTAAGCCATAGAAATGTAAAACATGTCAGTAATACATACTCAAGATGGCCTCCAAGACAAAAAAGTACTTTCATAAATTTCTATTACTATCATAATTTTCAGTCAAAGGGTGTCTTGTCACATATATGTGTATGTGTTAAAGATATGAGCACTTAAGAAAAATGCCTAAGGGAGAAACTGGGAGATATTGTTATCATATGTCTGTGTATAAGTGGTGTGTGTATGAGACTGGACTTGCAATGTATGCATGTGTTCATGTGGTAGTGTGTATATGCACATGTGTGATCCTGTATGTGGAAGTCAGAGATTAACCTCAGGTGTTGCCCACCTTTATTTTTTTATCCTAAAAAATTGATTGAATGATTATGACACACGCACATGCACACACATGTGTGCATGTGTGGGTGCATTATGGGGCTTAGTTCATGTCATGAACTCAAATTATTAGGTTTGGTGGCAAGTGCCTCCACTTGCTGAGCCATCTTACTAGTCACATCTTGTTTTTTGAGACAAGTCTGTTACTCAGCCTGACATTCACTGAGTCAGAAATGTAGTCAATGTTTTCAGGATGTCACATTGGAAAAGAACCCAGACTTGAGAAAATAAAAGCCTCACTGCTATCTAGTTCACATTCCAAAAAAGCAACCCTTAGTGAAACATATAATTAAGTCACTGGTTTTTAGTGTCTCATACAGTTGTATAACTCTAACTACTATCTGAGTATAGAATATTTCCAATTTGCAATGGAAGCCCCAAACTCATGAGCAATCACTCCCCACTATATCCTTACCCCAGCCTCAGGCACCCACTGATTAACTTTTAGTACCCATGAGTTTGCCTATTCTGGACAACTTATATGACTGGAATCATAATATGTGGCCCCTTCTCTGATCTGGCCTCTCTGATATTTGTGGAATTCTATGTTGCCACATATACTACACTATTCCCTTTATTGACTAAAATAAGATTAAACTGTAGGGTGGTACTTATGTCTTTTTGCACAGTTATAAATTCAAAACAAAGGGAGTTTTGATATGCAAAACTAAATGGAGGTGGCATTGTCTGAAATTTTATTTTTGTCTGTCCTCTTTTTTTTTTGTGTCTCCTATTGCTTTTTGATTACTTTTCATCAGAGTTTCACTGGTAGATTTTCAAACTAGTTTTTTTTTCCTTTGGCACCGATACACTTGGCATATGAATGAAGAAGAATCCATTTTCTAGCAGTGGTAATAGGAAAGCAGACTAAAATGATTTTTCAGAATTAAAAAGACAAATACTGTCAGCTGCTCATGAAACTAGGGCCTATCTACAATGGGGATGCTTTTCAGCTTGCTCATTACTTACTTGAAATATATATACATATACACAAATATTGTATATTATATATTGCATATATAATACATGCATATTGAAATACATATATAATTTGTGATTATTTCCTAATATAGTAACTAATTTCATTCATGTTTACTAAACGATTTTCAAAATATGAGAAAAATAATATTCATACTTTAATATAGAAACAAAGGCACCTTGGTCTAGAATTTGTGATACATACACACACAGAGGTTTTCTAGTTTGTGATGGGTTATAATAAGAAATTTACTCACAGAGCTCCTCTCTGTCAAATGTCTGTCCACTTCCACCAAACAGCCCCTTGAGAAAGCCTCTATTTTGAGCTTCTGGTGTCTCAATGGGAGTAAACAAGTCGCCTAACATGTCCTGTACCAATTAAGAAGAGAGTATTAGAGCAACTAAGATGAATTAATAATATATGGAAAAGTAACACTGTGATATGTTACAGTACATCATGAAGACAGCCTTTCCACGTCTTTTCTATGTGGTTGTTGCTTGGTACACAGTTGTGACCTTATCTCCTCAGAGACCACGAATAAAGGAGAAAAACAAAACTTTAGACAGTCCAGCCATGAGCCGCATGGAACAGACCCTGGAAAGTCACCTAATGCCACTGTCCTATGTCACTACCAAGTCTCTGGGGCAAGGAGGGAGCAGACTCTGCACTCAACTACTCTGCTGAGAACAGTAGAAGATCCAAACACCAACTCCACTGATTAAGACAAGACCCAGAGAACCACAGAGCCATGTGGGCATCATGTGGTCACTGACATGAACTGAAACTCACTGGAGATATGCTAAGACTGTGAACCCTGGCAGACAGGACAGCTGGGACTGTAAATAAAACACGGGTATGGCTGCATCAGGGTCTCCGACATTTAAATCCACACAGAATGTATATGAGCATCCAGCACATTAAGAAGACAGTAGCTGGCCAGCTGGAGATTATTCTGAGGGGTAGCCCATCTTGAAGTCTAAGGGTGCCATTTATTTTTATTTTGTTTGAATTCATCCAGGAACTTATTTTCCCCTCTGTTTTAATTGAAAATTCTTAGAAATCATTCTTTTGAACTCTTTGGGATTTCACTGAACATATCACACTCCCGTGGAATCCACTTAAAGGAGGACTGGCCCCTGTTGTCACCTGGGCAGACATTCAACCCAGCAGGGAACCTGCTTGAGCTCCACTGGGGCACTGCTGGTTGGCAAATCTGCTTTAACAGATCTGAGCTAGACACACAGGCATCTACTCTCCCAGCAGCAGGGTTAGATCCTTAAGACAACTTAAGGAGAGGAAGAAAGCAAGATCCATTCCAGTACAGAAGAGAGACTGACTGACACCGTAATACAGTTTATAGTTTACATTGTCTTCTTGTTAGACTTCACTCTTGCATATTTCTTAATGGCTTTACTTAATTTGTATATTCCTTACATTTTAAAATTATTCTACTTTTCACCTATTCCATTTAGTTCTCTGTACTATTTTTATTTAAAACTCATAAACTTTCCCTCAGTCCTATTTAATTTTCTTTCCTCAGTCCCTCTTCATGACTTATTAATGATAATTTTCTACAGATTTAATAATCTTTAAACTCCATTTATTCTACTAACCTATGGACATAATGCTAAATAAATGAAAAACTCAAAGCATTTTCACTAACATCAGGAACGAGATGCTGAATTCTTTACTCTTTCTCTAGATAGTGCTTGAAGTATTAGTAAAAACAACACGAGAATAGAAAACAATCAACAACCAAGTTCGATGGACTAGTAAAGGAAGAATTTAAATCATTCCCCTTTTCAGTATTATGTTCCTATGTACAGGAGACCTAAATCTAATGACTCTACCAGAAACCTTTCAGGAATAATAAACCTTTACAGTCAACTAGCAAGATATAAAATAAAGACACAAAATTAATAGCTTTCTTAAATGTCAATAATAAAAATGCTAAGAAAGAAGCACAAAAGACACCAAACAGCCAAAGCGATTCTGAGCAAGAGGAACAATCCTGGTGGTATCACTGTCCCTGATTTCAGCTATACTATAGAGCCATAGGAACACAATTGGAATTCCACTAGCATAAGAAGAGACATGTAGATCAATATAACAGAACAAAGGGCCAGAAATAAATCCATTCAGCTACACTGATAGAACTTTTTACAAAGAGGGCAGAAACATTTTGGAGAAGAGACAATTTCTTCAACAAATGGTGCTGGGAATACTGGACAGCTTCTTATAAAAAGATGAGAATAGATCCATGCCTCCCACCCTGATTAAAATCAATTAAAATTGATCAAATATTAATGAGACCTGGAACTTTGAAATTCTTATGAGAAAACATTTCAAATTATAGGCATATGTAAGGACTTTCTGAAAAGAATGGAAATAATTAAAGAAGTAAAATCAAGAATTTACAAATGAGATTTATTAAATTAGTGTAATTCACAACAAAGAAAAAAATGAGTAAATAGACTATAGAATGGGAAACATCTTTGCTAATTTATAGCAGACAAAGATTAATACGTAGAATGTATAAGTAACTAAAATCCAAACAAACCAAAATACCAGAAAACCAAACAAGTCAGCTAACAAAATAAACACAGTAATCAAATGATGGGACAAATGCCCAGTAATCACATGGAAAAATAATCAATACGCCTAGTCATTAGGGAATGCAAATTAAAACTATGTCAAGATGCCATGTCACCCTAGTGAGAATGGCAACCATCAGGAAAATAACCAACTCTGGCAAGGATGAGCTAAAAAGGGAACTTGTATACTGCTATATGTGAGAATACAAATTAGTCTGTCTGCTATGGAAATCAGTATCCTCATGGAGATTCCTCAAAAAAAAAAAAAAAAACCCAACAGAACATAGGACGTAGTTATAGTATGATCCAAAGGACTTTAACATACCACAGTGATACTAACACAACTTTGTTATTTTTTTGCGGCAGTATTTGTAACAGGCAAGTTAAAGAATAAGTGTAGGTGTCCATTAACAGAAGAATGGATAGAGAAAAATGTGGTATGTTCACACAGTTGAATTTTACTAGTCAAAAAGAAAATAATTGGGGTTGGGAAATAGGTCAGCAGTTAAGAACACTGGCTGCTCTTTAAAGAGGACCCTGGTTTGACTCCTAGCTCCTCAGAGCTGTGTATAACAGGGGGTTCAGATGGTATGACATGGTTTCCTGGCACACACATGATGTACAGATAAAGATGCAGGCAAAATATCCACATGCATGAAATAACAATAAATAAACCTTAAAAAATTAAAAAAAGAATGAAATTCTGCTTTCAGGAAAATTGATGCAACTGGCGATTATTATGTTAAGTGAAATAAATCTGGTTAAGAACAACAAATAATACATGTTCTTTTCCATTTGTGGGTCCTATATCTTACATAAATATATAAAATTGCACAGGCACACAATATACACCCCATGTATGTAAAACCTAGACTCTCTGAGAAACAGAATAATAGGAAGGGTGGGGGGGGGGAGGGAAATGTATGCAAGAATGAATCCAATCAAAGTACACAGTGCACTTGCATAAACCTGTCATTATGAAAACCAACTGTATGTACAAGAATCCTATACAACTGTGATTAAAACAAAGATCCGTAGAATACATTTCAGTTCACCTACTACTGTAAATGATCATAATTATCATTCATCATACTCATAATCCTCTTATTACTTCTGTGCCATACTAGAAGTTGGTAGGATTACATTGAAGAATATATATTCAAAAAATCTTCTAGGAAAAATTTTGTGTATTTATTGTCTGGCCCTATGACACTTTATAGATGTCTCTCTCATTATTTCCCTCACTTAACACTCACATGTATTAATTTATTTAATATTTTAATTTTATTGTTATTAATTTTTTATTTTCTAAAAATAAATTTATTTATTTACTTTACATCCTGGCTACAATTTCCCCACACTCCTCTCCTCCTAGTTCCTCTCCCCAAATCCCACATCTATTTAGATTAATGAAGGAACTTTACCTACCTGAATATTATCACACATTTCTTGGCTATATGTTAACCGTTGAATTTCAGTAGGAGAGACAAGGTATAACGCTTGGCCTTCATTAGTAAAACAAAATGTCCGTGCTATCCTCATGTCTGTCAGTGGCAAATAATTTACATCCAACATTGGGCGAAGGCTAGGTAAGCTGAATGGAAGAACAGTTAGTAAATCTACATCTCATATTTTCTTTGATATAAATATTTACTTTAATAAAAAATACTATTTAATACTATTTAATAATAAAGTCATCATTTTATGCTTTTCTTTATAGCATCTTTAAAGATTAATAATAAGTAGACTTTCAAATAAAATCACATGTACACACACAAATTTGAGCACAGTTCTATCTTAGCCTATACAAATGTTTTGCAAGTGTCCCTAGAGGAGTAATGTAGAGGCCTATGGTCTCTCTAAGCACAACTCCTTAGTATTTGATCTTATGTACAAACAGAAATGTGTGGGGTCAGTCCAGTGTGCCTGGGCATAGATCTCCATCCCTTAGTCCCTCTTCACAGAAGTGGAACCTTCCTGTCTCTTAGGGCATCTGTATTGAACACGACTAGTAAATAAACACGGCCGAAGCTTAAGGAATGAGTTGTAATAAGGAACAGATTAGCACTAAACATGGGAAAGACTACATCTGTAGTTACTTCCTAGCCTATCCTGCAGCTATAATTTTGATGAGATAGCCCTAGAAAGGTCCTTTTGGATAATGTAGTAAAAGCTAATTTATAATCCACTATTGAAAAGCAACAGTCTTCCCATCATTCCTTCAAGTCAAGGGCAGAGAGAACTTCTCTGGTTTAATCCTCAGACTTGGGAACTATGCTAATTCTTCATGTACAGGGGTTTTAATTCATCCTAGAATACAGGTAGTGTCCCAGAAAGTACCATTTTTCTTTTAAAAAATATTTTGTAACTACATTCTGAGACCCAAAATTTTACTATATAATATGGAGACTGAAATCTATCTTATTGGAATAAGCATTTATTGATGTTCCAGCACCATGCTGCCTGGTATTTTATCCACCAACTAGTCACATGACTATTGAGCAAGTAGACGATCCTTGGATAGTCACTGAGGTCCGCTGAAAGTGTGACCGGCTAGCTGGATTTCAAAGACTTAGTAATCAAAACTATCTGAAATATGAACGATATATAACAGCTTAATATAAATCTTGAATAACAAACAAGCTGAGAGGAGAGAAAGGACATCACACACACCTATAAATACACATCCCCTGTAATTGATCACACACACACCCCATAAATACACATCCCCCATGATTGAAGCAAGTCTATGGGTTAAATCATTTACAAACAGGATGGAGTGGTCTTCATTGGAAATCTCTGAAAATAGTTTAAGAATCAGAAATCTATGAGAATAAGGAAGCCATGATTGCCTTATCCCCAAAAGTTTCTCCCTCACTAATTACAGATCTCTTCATGTTAGAAATAATGAAACAAAATACCACGAGAATCTGGTCTTCCTCTTGAACGACTTTTCTGCTTCTCTTCTTTCTATTTACACAACATTTTCTGAAAGAGTCAGCTATGGTGGGCTAAGGGATCAGACAGTAAAGGTTTCAGGCTCGGGCCTGAAGCAGCTCCTTCAGTTGTTCAGTTCTCTTTGTATGCAAAAGTAGCCATTGCCGACGTATGAATGATGGGTGTGGCTGTGCCACAAGACACGTTCTTTTCAAACACTTGACTTCATATAATTCCCATCAACCGTATTCTCTGGCTTTTTAAATCATTTAAATCTTGGCTTGCAGTCTGTACAAAATCAGACTCATTTGTCATCATTTTCAACTTCGTACTGCACTACTCTATTCTTGCCCCCTGAAAGCTGCTCCCAGCGTCACCTGCTCCTAACACTCGCTTTCTGAACGGGTTTCACACAGCCAGTCTGGCCTCCAATTTACTATGCAGCAGAGGAATTACCTTGAATTTTGGAACCTCCTTCCTTCACTGCTGGAATTCTAAGCAAGCTTCAGCATGACCAGTTTACAGTTCTGCTTTTGGTGTGCTAATTCTTTGACTTTTCTGCTATATGGGCTACCTCTTGACCTTTTTATTGCAGAAAATTGTACTGTTCAGGGTCTTTTCTTATTTCTCTTCTGACTTCATAACCTCCTTCTTTGGAGTTTCATTCCCCCAGTACATAAATGTAGAGACTGGTCCCAAGCTTCTATCTCTGGTACAGTCTACTTTTCATTTCAGAGATTATGTAGGATCTCTTAATGGTTACGTTTGCTATTATCAGTGTTCCTAGATGATGCTCAAGCCTGCGTTTTCCCAAGAGACTGGACCCTAAATTGCTGTTAAGCATCTGCTGGATGGCTTGGAAGCACCTTAAAAGTCGAACTTATTTTTAATCCATTCTCAAACTCATTCTCAGTGTTTTTAACTTCCTCTCACTTCCTTACCTGCTAATAGCATTACTGTAATACAAATTCCCCTAAATCCTGGGAGTTAGTGATCTTCTTTACCTTGCTTAACAAATCAGTTTTGCATGCAGCAAGTTTCCCTCTTCCTTCAGCTCTGCTCCCTCCTTGCTTTGTAGTACAAGAGTCCTTGAGTATTTTCTAGTAGACATCCAGAGAAGGCTAACTACCTGCTTTAAAGTCCCATTTCTTACTAATTTAGTTCATCACTCATGGTCCTCAAGCATGTATGTCAACCTGCCTCTTCAAGTTACTTTTTTCTATTATACATTTAGTGATTCAATGCTTTTAAACTTTGGGGACTTTGTCAAAAGAAAATTCAACTTATATATCCTCTACTGGAAATTGCATTTCTGTTTTCTAATTATTTGTATATTTTCATATGTTGCTAATTTTATCTCCTTTGAAATGATTTGGAACAAGGTGAGATATTGACAAGAACGATAGTCGCCTCTATAGTATATTGAGTAAATTTCGTTTTCTTGTAGCTTATTCATCCAATGACCAACCACAGCACTGCTGAATCCATAAACTCATTAGGTAATACTTTATGCTTCACAAGTTTTATATGATTTCGGTGAGTAAAATGATCTTATTTTTAATGTGTCTCATGTTAGTTTTCCAGTGAGTGTTAATATGATTTTTCCTATGCTTTATGCCTTCAAACAAATTATTTTACTTTCATTTCTAATATGTAAAATGAAAGATGAAAATAATACTTGTCAATGTCCTAAAAAGCTTTGAGAATCAAGTGAAATTCCCTGTGTAAATTTCTTATATAATAGTGAAAGCAACAGATAATTTTACTTCCATATAGCTTCTGAATCTAGTGCCTAACATATTCCCAATACCTGCCTGTTAAATTAATGTACAAATGATTGGGAATCATTCTTTCCTTGGATTCTTTGATGTCAACTATATAATATATTTACATATATTATATCTAAGTATTTGTCAAGTATTTTTTAGGAAACAAAACCAAGACCAGAACCAGCCCTCTCCACACCCAAGCCACAAATCTCTCTTCAGAACATTTACAAACACAACGGATATCTATCAGGTTACTTCTTTTTAACAGTATGAATATACTTCTCACCATTATTTCTTGCTAGCACTGTTACAACTATCAGCTAACAATAAACATGCCAAGTACCTCATTATCATGATATGCCCGTTTGCACAAAAGCAGGCCAAGCAGGCACTGTTACACATGACCACCACCTCTGCTTGCAGTATGAAAGAGGCCTCTGTGATGTTGTGCACATAAAGGCAGGTCTGAGACGGCAGTGAGAAGACTTTGGCTTGTTTCTCTGAGCAGATTATTGCATACTGATGGTCGCCTGTTTCTTGGGATGCACTGGAGTAGTTCATAACCAGTTTCCTCCTCCACGTTTTCTCATTTTCGTCTGCGTTGTTGGGATCCCTCCATACTTCATATGGAGGCTGCATTAAGCTGCCACTTCTGTCCATGCAGGAAAATGTTAGCACAGCTCCTTTCAGTGAGAGGAGAGTACCTGTAAAACAAATCGTACTGCTCGCATGGGAGAGCCCTTCCAAAGCTGCTGGGCATTTCACGCCACGACAGTTTACGGGAATACGCTTTTAATTTGTAATATACAAAACCAGCATGTTTGTGAGTTAATCTGCTGTAAAAACTTGTGCTAAAAAATGTAGGTCTAAATTTAAACTAAACTATTTGCCAAACTTGTTCACTATATTGCTGAGAAAACAGGTCTGGAAGGATGATCACACTAGGGACAGGCCATACAGCTTGGACTGCAGCCTTGGTTACAGTTACTATTAAGCATGAATTAGATTCAGGTTTCCTGATTCGAACCCCAATATTCTTTTTTTTGTTACATTCAAAATGTCTTTTATTATCTTTTTGTTTAATATGGTTTTAATTGAAATAGAATTATATCACTTTCCCCCTACCTATCCTTTCTCTAGCACTTCTAGCGAACCCCTCTCCTCTTTCCCACCTCTAGACCAAGAACTACAGGCAGCTATGCTGGAAGAAGAAGAATTATCCTCTCCCATGGATGAGCCCCTTAACGGATGTTTAATTCAGAGTGGTCACCTCTGAAACATATACACAGGATTTTTTTCATTATGCTATATAGTTCCATTAAAACCCATAAAAATTTAAAAGGCAAGTTTTTAATATGTTTATAACTTTATTTTTTCAAGTGAGTTAAACTATTAAAAAAGTGTACTACCTGTTTCCAATTTCCTTTTTGATGCTTGTTTGCTAGAAAATGCTTTTTAATTGTTCTGAAATCAAGCCCTCAATAAATATTATGTGATATTGCATTCAGAGTTACTCTATGCCACCAATTTTGTACTTGACCTTTGATCTTAGCTAAAACGTCAAAAAGTGACTTCAACTTTATCTATCTATCTATCTATCTATCTATCTATCTATCTATCTATCTATCTATCTATCTATCTATCTTCCAGACAGGATTTCTCTTTGTAGCCTTGGCTGTTTTTGAACTCCCTCTGTAGACAAGACTGGCCTCAAACTTAAGATCAAACTCCCCTTGCCTTTGAGTGCTGAGATTAAAGACATGCACCATTGTGCCTGGAGCGATGCCACTTTTAATGGTGTGACAAACAAGTTCTGCTGTGAATATAATTGGTTAATAAAGAAGCTGCTTTGGGCCTATAAACAGGGCAGAATAGAGCTAGGTGGGAAAACTAAACTGAATGCTGGGAGAAAGAAGGCAGAGTCAGCAAGAAGCCATGTAGCTGATGCCAGGGACAGATGCCTGCACTGGATCTGTCAGCTGGAACTTTGCCAGAAGGCGATGACCTCATGGTGATACACAGATTAATAGAAATGGGTTAACCAAAAATATAAGAGCTAGCTAGCAATACACTTAAGTGAAGTTTCTGTGTGATTATTTTAGGGCTGAGCAGCCTGGAACAAACTAACAGCCTTCCTACTACAAAGTTCTTTTAACAAAATAACTAGGGATAGAATCAGGGCTTATGGAATCCAAAACTTTATTACTCTTGGCCTCTAATAAAATAATTTTAAAGTTTTGTCTTTTTAAAATAACTACTTTCAACTCTTAGGCAAGTTCATGTATCTTGATTCAGAAAAAAAGATGATTTACCTGTTTTTCCCATGGTATGGAAAATAACTATATATATGTAATTATGTATAATTTGTATAATTAACATATGCCAATAATATATCAAAAGAGAAAATATTCAATTTGATTGTCCATTTATTGACCGAATTACTTACTTTTGGTATTCATTTTAGTTCTTTATGTATTTTGGTTATTAGCTCCTTGTTGAACAGCTAGCAAAGATTTCTTCCCATTCATTGTCTCTTCTACTCTTCATTTTGATGTGAAGAACCCTTTTAATTTGATCCAATTTGTCAATTTTCCCCATTTTTATTGATCATTTGGGTTCTACTTGGAGAACCATTGCCCATAATTAAATATTGAAGTATTTCTTTCTCCTATGTCTTTTTAAAAGTAGTTTTAAAGTTCCAGGTTCTATGTTAAGGTCTTTAATTCCATACAATCTTATTTAACATGATTTTCGGCTAGGTTGCCTAATCTTTGCATCTCTGATTAATTTCCTTAGGGATGATTTCTAAGGTTCTGTGGATTTTTAAAACAGAATTTAGCCAGGTCAGTTTACTGACTCAGGACTGGGAGGTCAGCTACAGCTTGTAGTTTCTAATACAGCAATTCAATATAATAATATTAGAACTGAGAAAGAAACACAATGTGATCAATTATAAAGTGTACTGAGCAGGGATTCAAGAAACTCAGCTTCAAATCTACTCCTCTCTCTAGCTTGTTTGAAGCATGCTATTTATTCTCTCTGGGCTTCATTTTATTAACTGTTAATAAGGAAACTACAATATATTAATACACAATCAGGACATGCAATAGTTCATTTGTTAGATTAGCATCACACAAGGACTTGGTCAAAGTGCAAATCCTCAGACTATCTTAGACCTACTGAACCAGAGGGTCTGGGGTGGGGTCCTTCCATCCCTATCACAGCAATACCTTCAAATGATTCTGATACAAACAAAAGTGAAGTATGGAAAGAGACATAGTATGCATGTGCTTCCCAGCTCTCCAATTCAATGATTGACCACTCTTCAAACTTCCATATTAATAATAAGAATGTGTTGCTAAGACTAGCAAGGCTATGTGAAAACATTTCTTAAAAAAAGGAAAGTGGGATTTTATTTTTAGTAGTATACTTTTTAGTTACTGATTCAACCCCTTATTAGTTCTGGGTCTGTTCAGACTTTTTACTGACTTGGTTTGGTGCACGGTGTATTTCCAGTATTGTACTCATTTTCTTCAAGTTGTCTGGTTTGTTGGAATACCAGGATAACACAACCATGATGAGGTACAGCCTCATATCTGTTAGGAAAACCATTCTAAAATCATCAAAAGATAACAATGATGGCATCATGTGGAGAAACTAAAACATACACTGTTGGTATATCCACACATGCAAGGGAACACAGTCCAAGAATGGAGTAGTGTGAGGAGAATTCTGAGTGCTTGTGAGAAAATGCCAGGAAAACAAGAGTCTTATGACCTAAGTTTCTACAAACACATGGAATTTGTTCTCAGTATGTCCTTTAATTTGTCTCTCCTGAGCATAGCACATAGGAATGAGTTTACTTCTGATTATTATTACAACTGGCTATTGTTATTTATTTGTAGGCCTCTATGGAAAAACATGTTTTTGCCACATTCGATTTGTCCTTGTGATTACATACAGCTTGAACTCACGAGAACTTTATGCAGGGGACCATTCTTAACACTCAGGGTATAAAGTGTCTAATACTCTAAATAAAGTTGGCTATTGCATGAGACTTGAGTCTGACTTATTTTTAGGCTTCATTCTCTTATCTTAGAAGTAAGAGCTCTCTAGTGACTTGGTTGTTCTGCTTTTCTGATCTTCAGGTTGAACCCCAATATCTGTTTCTGGATCTTCACTATTTTTGCTACTTTTGGCAACATGGGGCTTCAACCCACAACCCTGAGATTAAGAGTCTCATGCTCTACTGCCCCATATTGGGTGCCAAATTTAGTAGAATTAATAAAAGCCCAGAAACAAATATTGGGATTCAACCTGAATGTCAGAAAAGCAAAACAGCCAGTCACTGGCTGTTACCTCTACTTCAGTCTGAAATAGTGATCCTGCCTCCAGGAATCTCAGAATAAGAGTATTTTTGATAATTGTCTCCTCCCATCTTACATTCCTCTCTAGGGGTAGGATTAAAGGCATGCATCACTACTGCCCAGTTTCTATGGCAAACTAGTTTGGCAACAGGGATTAAAGGTGTGTGCCACCGCTGCCTGGTCTGTACGACTGTTGAGTGAGGGTATCCTACTCCCTGATCTTCAGGCGAACTTTATTAAATAGAAATGAAATAGCATTACAATCCTAGGTTCCACTGCCATTGAGAGCAGTAAATAGACATGGACAGCTATGAAGATGTAAAAAAAAAAAAACTAAAAGTGGAACTAACATATAATCAAGCAATATAGCACTGGGGTTGTAACCCAGGACCGTGAAGATACTTGTACTCCTATGCAGTGCTACTCACAATAGTGGAGATGTGCAAACAACCTAAGCCTCCAGCAGAGGAATGGATTACAAAAAGTCATATATAGATGTATATATGCAGTATTATATTAGTGTTATATTATTTGTATTTTGATAAACAAATATTGCCTGAAGGCCAGAGACAAAGCTAAAACTGCTAGAGGTCAGGCAATGGTGACGCACACTTTTAGACAGAATTTGGAAGACAGAGTCAGATGGATCTCTGGAAGTTTAAGGACACCCTGAACTACACAAGATCAATGCAGAAAGAAATCTATGCTCACACCTTTAATCCAAGTCCTAGGGAGTCACACAACTTTAACCCCAGCACTAGAAAGGATATAAAATGGGAGGAGATAGAGGCTTAGTCTGCTTACCTGCAGTCACCCAGTTTTGGTAGAGATTAAGACTTCTCTAGTGGCTTGACTGTTTTGCATTTATGGTTTTTAGGTTGATCCCCAATTTATGTCCATGAGTTTTTATTATTTGTGCTACATATATGCTATTGCAACATTGTTTAATCTTTTTTTTTCACACCAAGGGCCATGCTTTTCCTCCCTTTTTATAATTTATTTTTTTAAATTTATTTATTTATTAAAGATTTTTGTCTCTTCCCCACTGCCTAAAAGAGAGCAGTTCTTTAATATTAAAAGACATCAAGGGTATTACATTTAGTAAAATAAGCCAGCCACAAATGGGTAAATTCTGTGTGATTTTACTAATATGAGGCATTCAAAACAGTTAAATTCATATGTGCTAAGAATAAACTGATGGTATCTATGAATGGTAAAAAATGGTAATGAGCATTTCCTAATAAATTAATATAGAATTTAAATTATGTAAGGTAAGTTAGAGAGATGTGCTGTGCAGTACTGTATTATAGATAATAATACCATGGGGGGTTTAGGACTGAATGGGGTGTAGAACAGAGAATGAATATGGAAATAGATGAACAATCATCAACCACAGAACAATCATCAACCACAGAACAACAACAATTGCAGAGTCAGTCAACGGACTGTGAGGAGGTACAGCAGTCTCCAATCTCAGTCTCATCCTTACGTCACCTTTTCTCCTTAGGAAATTCCACACCCTTTTCTCTGTTTACTGCTAGAAAGCTGGCTTCCAGTTATTCTTTTTTTTTATTTTAATGGATAATTACAAAACAAACATGAACCTAGCACTATAGTTTTCTTCTTTTTAATTAATGAATTTTAAATAGTAGTATCATGTTTACAGAAAATAGATCAGATCATATACAGCACCCATATTATCTCTTCTTTCATTTCTTTTACCATTAATAGCTGTATTAGTAGGCTATATTTGTTAAGCACTTGGGACTGACTTGTTATCTGAATACTTATCTTCCCCAAATTGTGCTGTGCTAAAGTAAAATTATGACTAAATATAAATAAAATAATGCTAAAGTAAAACAATAAGGGCCAAACTCAGAAGTCCTGATTCAGAACCAGTTACAATAAAACCAGGCCATGTTTCATTATTTCTGCATCTTGTTTGTTTTGCCCCTGCCTGCTGGAGAGCCTGCAGGGGACCCCACAGAATGCCTGGCACGTACTGGATGTCCAATATTATATATATATATATAATCATTAAGTTAAAGAATAGATTTGAATTGGTGATTCATTCTGACCTCACTGATCTGACTCTAACTTCAGCAGAATAAAAAATTCATATTTCTTTACAATTAGAAATGCTTTAAAAAGTATTTTTCTCTATGTCATATTGGCTCAAAATAAAGTGTTTGTTTTTAGTAGTTTAGAGACAAGAGGTTTCTAAATTTGTCACACTCACAGAGCTGACTATTCTGCCTATGTAACACAAGTTAATACAAAAGCCCAACTCTCTCTAACCTGTCATTCATGCTATATGGACAGTTTAAAAAAATCTCTTACCCTATGCATTCATAAAATTTTTTAGCTTAATATACCTAAAACATTTATTATATTTATGAAAGAGGAAGTAAAACTAATAATGATTAGAATCTGTTAAAAAATATTCATAGGAATGTCAAGGGAATCACACAAACTTTTTTAAAAAAAAAGAAATAAAAATGAAATTTCAGGGAGAATAGAACATGTTCCTAAGTTGAATTCTTGAGGATCTTCATGAAAATGCAAGGAAAACTTCAAATATCCACCTTAGGTCAGATTTCTTCTACTTTCTTTATTCTGATTTCAAGAATGATGTAAAAACACTTGTAGGTTCTGGCCTGACATAGAACTTTGGAAAAATGCCAAGTTATTAAAAATAAATTGAACTTGTGCAGTAATGTTTATCTCAACACTTTTAAGGAGCTTATTTCTGAAAGCAGGGTTTAGATTGGCCTTTCTGGATCCCATTCATAGAAACAACTCAACTGTACTCTCACCCTGAGAAGTGGTAAATGGCAGTGTGGTAAGTGTTGGAAGAATACATGAAGTTCTAATAGTCCATATTACATATGAGGCTTATACTCCTCACCTTCATCCAGAATCAATGCATATTAGCAATTCTTGATATCTAAAGTTGAATAAGTAGCAGCAAGGGAATGAATGAGTCAAAACTCTTACCGCTTGGCAATACCATCACTGGCTCTGTACACCTTTGTTCGTCTGATGACGGTAGGTTCAGGGAGATGAGTAAAACCATTCCCAGACTAGTTCCAACAAACAGACAAGGCGAAACGGTGGAGTCGTTCTTCCGCGCAAAGGATTCCATGAAGTATAAAGCTGTAACCGCTTCTTTGGAGTCTTTGTCAATACTGGAGATGCTAGAGCTCCTGGAGCGGTTATAGGAATTCTCTCTGGCTTCTATGAAGGTTTAAAAAGCAAAATTAAGCATTAGTGAATCTATAAAACAAGTCAAATTTAATACCTGAAAACCATAATTATGAGAGAAAGAAAGGTTTTATTCTTTGTTTACTGGCGTGAAGTCCCCAAGGTACCAGCTCATTTTGAAGGAGTAGAGTCTGAAATCTTATGTGCTATCATAAACTTAGGCAGAGTTAAAACCAAAATTCCAGTCTCCTGAGTTCTAGCACACCACGTTTCTTTTTTACATTTCCTGAATGATCAGTTAAAATTCTTAAATCTAAATAGTCAAGATTATAACATTTTCTACCACTGTAGTTGTTTTTCCTTCGCATCTTTTGATCATAGACACCATACTAATAATCTTTGGCAAGTCACACTTACCAACAGAACCATGGTTGCCCACATGAAAGGACTAATCTGGATCATAAATGATCTGCGACAAACATATTGTATGCAAGTGAAGCTCTAAAAATCGAAGTTTTAATGTAAGTCCAAAAACGGGAATGTGATTTCTGTAGACTTGTTTTGACCTGCCTGCCTATAACCCAAATCCAGGTTTAACTAACTAACGCCAAAGGATAAAACAGACTGTGCCATCCTGTTAATGCTGGATTTTCCGAAAAGGCTTCAGCCTGCTTAGAAAAGAAACAGCAGCATGGTTTTATGTGCTCTTGCTTCATTAACACCTGAGCATATGCACCCTCCAACAAGCAAAAATTCCTCCATCTGCGAAACAGAAATATAGTTATACTGACTTTAATTGCTCAAGGACAGGCTCCTAGTATTTCTACTGTCTTCACTCACCTTTTTCCTCTTGACAGATCCCAGTGTGCCTTTTTTAATTTTCATAGAACCAGATGAAATATGAGTTCTTCAAAATATATTTAGAAGGAAGAGAATGCAATATTCCCTATTTTCCCTATACCTTTACCAAATTTATAAAAAATATCTTGTAAAATTTATCATCTATATATTTTACAAATTTAAAGACAGAATTATTACTAAACTATTTTCTAGCACAAACTAGAGGCAGAAATATCTATGACTCAAAAGTCTGCAGCATTCATTCCAATGATTATTCTCTTGCTTTTATAATTCTTACACATTGCTCCTATTATAACATTTGTAGCCAATCTGTCTCCAAAGTTTCACTAATGATTTATTATTACTCAATACTGATACTCACAAACACCTGCTAGAAATATGATTTAGTCATTTCCATGTCTACTGGACAAGATTTAGTATGGCATATTATTAAATAAAAACTGAGTAATGAATTCATTAAAAACATTTTTGAAGAAAATAGATTGCCATTTGAAGATTTAAAGAATAGTATAGAGTTATTACAGCCAAATATTTCTATTATTTCCCCCCTCCTAAAATCTTTATTAACAAAAGAGTAAAAGCAAACTTATAAGATTCTGTTTTCTTTCCTGCTCTAAAAAGTTTTGTCTCTTTTCTTATTGTATTTGACTCCCCATCCACATACTTATTTTATGAATAAGGAAACAACTTCCTTTAAAAATTTACAAGGATTATAAACTTTATTATTTTTATTTATTATTTATTTATTTGGTGGCCCTGGGGATATATTCTGGACCTCACGCAGACTGGGTAAGTGCTCAGCACTGAATTATATCCCAGACTTTTTGTCCTTTTTTCTTTGAGATAGGGTCTTGGTAAATGGTCCAGACTGTCCTTGAGCTCTTTCTGTAACACAGGCAGGTCTTGCAATCCTCCTGCCTCTGCCTCCCCAGCAACTGGGATTACAGGCCTGTGCCACCAGATCCGGTTATGATTCTGAATTTTAGAATTTAAAAAAGTGTCTTTTTAAACTTGGTTATATTCATTTGACAGCATAGGTAATTAAGGTTGCCTTTGTAGATTGTCACCTTTTGTATAGCCTACCTATAGTGGAGTCATTTTTTTTTTCTGTTTTTAGAGATAAGGAAGGAGGTAGACTGGGGAATAGAATTGGAGTTATGGCCACAGTCAAGTAGGATCTTGTTTTTTTCAATGTCATGTGGGTTTTATCATCTTTTAAATTAACTTCCATTTCTTGTCTCCCAGCACCTGTTACCATGACAAACCAAGCTTTTAACTGTACTCACAAGAATTGACATGTTTAGCCTACCTTCAGTTGTAACTGGTAAAGAAATCTCCATGCAAGCAGCTGACTGTGCCTTTCTAAATGGTGGTCTTCCAGGACCCCAGCGATTTACTTTTGAAACATCAGCACTGGAAAGACGTTTTCCAGAACTGCAACTCTGAGAGGTTGGACTTGTGCAGTGTCCATTTACATGGTCTGTACCAAGAGGAAGAAGGCAGAATAAATATCATAGTTAAGTCTTCAGATGAGGAAATCCAAAGGCATAGTTTAAAAATGGAGGAACAAGAATTCCTCTTCTTCCAACCCATTTGCATATCACTAGTTTCTTGTTATTTTAAGATTTAGTTACAATTTCAGATTATAAAAAATCAAAACACTTATGTATAGCACACACTTTCATAATTTGTTTATTTATCATTGTTTGAAATGTGGTGTATATTCCTACTATGTATTCAATATATTGTTGAATGGCAATATAAAATAAGTTTTAATAATGTATTTTTATCACATTATTTGAACAGGTCCAATTTATGTAAGTTTTGGAAGTATTTCTTTTACTTGGAGTTTAAGATGCAGAACACAGCATCATACTATGCACTTGAGAGCGGTACTTAAGGACATAGCTGCCTTCATGCACATTCTAGTTTTGACACTAATTAGTTCTGCCCTACTCATGTCTTCACTCTGTGATTTCCTTTGTAAATCTAGAATGTTACTGCCTAGTTCATACAGTTTTTGTAGTGTTTTTGGAGTCCATGTGTACACAAAGGGCTGCAATAGACACGGTATAAGCTTTTGCCTTTGTCACTCTTGTCTCAGAGTATAGAATTACTTAAGTATAAAATATTCATCTAACATCTATGAGTGTTTGGATAGCACTTTGAAAACTTGGACTAGGAGTAGACCTTATAATGGTACAAAACTTATTTAGCACAAAACAGATTTTCTTATTTTGCCTAAAAGTAATAAATTGCATTTGAAATACCCTTCATGGTTCTGCAATATAAAGAACGCCTATGGACCATTCTGCTCTGGTCATCCTTGAGGTAGAGCTGCTGTATGGAAATGCCTACTAGCAATGTTAACTATGTGGACCTGGCAATCTATTACAGCCTTTCTGTACTGCACAGTTTTAAAGCCTAAAATTGTGTCTTTCCTGGATTACTTTGCAGCTAACTCATGGCAGGAATTATTTCTCACTATTTTATTGTACTAGAATTTTTCCTACCAATTTTTAAAATGAGAGTTAACATTTATCAGTATTTCAATGGTGGGCATTGTGTATGTATATATCTGTGTACTATCTTATTTAATTTTCAAATAACCCTGTAAGCTGTAAGATAATTTATTATTATTGTGACATTATACATGATAAAAATGGAGAACATAAAAAAATGAGATTTCCCATCAGGGAAGAGTCTAAACTGATTTTCTCAACTGATATATATATGCTTAAACACTGAACTATAGAGTTAGCCAAATATTTGAGAAAGAATTAAAGTTTTGAAAATATATTTAGTAGTGCTTAAGAAGCCAATGAAGTCAGTTGAAACTTAGTCATTTTGGAATCAAAGCATCTTTCATTTTGAACAGAAATTCAGAAATCTCAGCTAAAAAGGCAGATTTTATCTTATGAAGACACTGTGAAGAGGAAGTCAAGAGTTCTAATCCTCCTTCTCCAGCATTAAAAAAGAAGAATAATGAAGGCAACATTTGTCACTGACCACCTAGTGAGCGTTAGACGATGGCAACTGCTTTGGATATACAATTAGCAACAATACCCCCATCCTCATACAGCAGTCAGAAAACCCCTGCTCTTTCCACAGACATGGTACCTTGCTTTAGGGCCTATGGCTTATCCACTATGCCAAGCAAATGTTCTTTTAAAATAAATCCGTGATAGATGTTCTTGATAGATAAGAATTGAAAAAATTAGACATAGCTCAGATAGTCAACTTGGAAATTTATGTTAATAAAATGGAGCTAAATCAAAAGAAATGCAAATCTAGCTATTGACTAAGTCAATCTCTGTCATATTGTTTACTACATAGGCTTATCTGGAGCCAGTTTCTATTCGGTTTTGCTTGGCTTTGCTCATAGTGATTAGTCAAGGTTCTTTCTTGTTGTGTCAAGAAGCTATTTTCATTTCTGAGAAATATTCCATTGTCTGGGTATGCCACTATTTGCTGAATCATTTATCTTTTGATGATTATTTTGGATTCCCTCAGTTAACAATTATTTTTAAAGAGATTTAAAAAAATTAATATTTTGAACTCATCAGAATTTACCATTTTTGGTGTTCATCAGTTTCTGGGTATGTTGAGATTTCTCTGACATCTGGATATTTGGAGGTTGAATTTTTTCAGGTGTGTGTGTGGCCACTACATATACATATAGTGTGTATCACTATATGGCTCAGGCTGTCCTCAAGTTTGTGATCTTTTCCTTCCCTTTTCCAATTGTTGGGAATGCTGTAGACATGTGCCACCAAGCATGTCTTTAGCTTTTGTATACCCAATAAAGCATTTATCTCACCTTCATTTTGAACATGATTTCTATTGGTGGCAGAATGTTATGCTGTTTTCCTTTCAATAATTTAAACATACTTTTCTACTTTCTTTCAGCTTTCTTTTTCTGTGGAAAAAAATTTGCTTTATTCTTGTTTTTGCTACTTGACGTGTTAAAATGTCATCTCCCACATCTCTGGCTAATTGGCACTTAAAGAAATTCAATTATGATGCTCTTTATATAATTGTCTCTACATTTCTCATGCATGGGGTTCATTATGCTTCTTGGAACTGTGGATCTTTATTGTTTATCAAACTGAGAAACTGTTCATCATTTATTCAAACATTATTTATCCCTCATTATTTCTTTTTCCAGAATTCTTGCAGCATATGCACTAGATGGCACAGAGTTTCTTTCTAAACAGTAAATTTTTGAGTTCATGTTGTTCTTAAGCAGTGTCAGTTCTTTTTATTAAGCTCATCTAGTGAAATAATCATCTCCAAGAAAATACTTTTTATCTCTAAAAGATTTAGTTTTTTTTATATAATTTTATGCTTCTTTTTGACATCCCGGGACCTCTCTCTCACTCTACAGTATATTTAAGTAGTTTACTAATTCTAGCCTACCTATAATTTTTATGTCAGTTTGTATTGATTAATATTTTTCTTCTTCATAGTTTCTGCTTTAGTATAGGTTCTAGACACTATTACATGCTAGTTTTAAAAAATTTTTCAGTATTAAAGATACTTCAGACTTTTTCCAGGATACAGTAAAAATCTTTAGAAGGATATTTTTACTTTTATTTTACAAAAATTATATATCCATATTAACTTGTCTAAAATGTTCAGAATAACATATGGGCAAGTGAAGTGAATGACGATATAAGGGGTAACTCTTCTATGACATAGCAACTGTAAAGCAGTATGCTGCTAGCTAAAAGAGAGTTTAGATCAGACTAGAAGGAGTTTCTTCCTAATGGCCCTTTCCAGCTGGTCTTCTCTTCCTGACCACAGTTCTTCTCACTTCTCAGCCTCATCTACATCAGGTCCTAGGAATGAGCTTCCTAGCTATGAGGGAACCTTAATGTTTAATAAGTAATATGTGACTCCCACGTGCATAAAATGTGATGCTTGGCTGACAGGAGGAACTGTGAGAAATAACTTCTGAAGAGAAGCTGGATCTGGTTGCAGATGAAAATTCCTGGAAGAATCTGTGTTTTTAGGGACTGATCAGCTGATGAGAATTCCAGTACCTGCAGAGGCATGCGGGCTGTTCAGAGACTGACCACCTTATCTTAGCCTAGGTTCTGATCTCCCACCTCCCAGTCTGAACCACACCGTCTTGTAACAAAAGATAAATGGCTTTTAGAACCTACTAACTTAGCAGGCAATTAGCTTCTATCAAATCAAAAACAAAGAATGCTATCAAATAGCATATTGAGCCTGTAGAAAAGCGCCCCTCATTTCAATGTAAATGCCTTCTTGGTAAACCCACAAATGTACTTCAAACTTGCCTTGATTTATGACTTTCTCTGTTCTGTAAAACTATAAAAATCTCCTTGAAACTGCTTCCATTTTGAACATGGAATTTACGGTACCTGTAGTCCAGTAGAGAGAACTGATACCTCAACTCGATTACAAACTAATTTCACTTGAACACTGTAAACCGTTCCATTGAAGGAATATGAGTGATTAAAGTACAAGTCCAGTAACTTCCTTGCTATGGGAGAATACTCTTGTATACTATAAAGATTTGTCACTTGTATTGTTTTAGTACAACACTGATTGGTCAGTAGCCAGGCAGGAAGTACAGGTGGGGCAACCAGAATAGGAGAATTCTGGAAAGAGGAAAGGCAGAGTCAGTCACCAACCAGATGCAGAGGAGGAAAGATGAGAATGCCTCACTGAGAAAAGGTACCAATTCATATGGTTAAATATAGTTAAGAATTATGGGTTAATTTAAATTGTAAGAGATAGATAATAAGAGATAGATAATAATAAGCCTAAGCTAATAGGCCAAATAGTTTATAATTAATATAAGCATCTGTGTGTTTCTTTGGGATTGAATGGCTGAGGGACCAGGTGGAACAGAAACTTCCATTTATGCATCCTGACACCAGATGACAAATATAAACTAAAGGCATTCCTCACCACTAAGCAAGGAGCTTGGGCAATAGTCAAATGAGTCCTCCACACTGCAGAGAACAATAAACACATCTGTGAGAGCACAGCACAAAATAACCCCACTGCAATAAATAAGCAAACAAGAATTAGAAAATAGAAACAACAAAGAAATAAGAGTGAATACATACTGTCAAAATTAACAGAATGATAACAGTTTCAATCTCTCTTTCAAACAATGCATACTAACTGACTAGATTAAAAACAAGACTCTCTTCTTTGTTGACTGCAGAAAATAGATCTCACTGCAAAGAAACAAAGCTTTAGAGGAAAAGCATGGAAAGAGAAACTCCAAACTAACGGAGAAAGCTAGCAAATGTAGCAATTTTAATTTCTAACAAAATGGCTCCAAATCAAAATTAATTAGAAGAGATACACGGCATATTACAATTCTGAACATACATGCCCTGAATGTTGGGATACTCAATTTCATCAAAGTAAGTGCTATTGGGTGTAAGGGTGCTGACTGACCTTAGTATAGTAATATTGAATAGCTGTAATACCACA